ATTTGGTTACAATTTGCAAAGGGAGCCTCGTTCTCAGGCTTCGTTCACATAAAAGCCTCGTTCTCAGGCTTCGTTCACATAAAAGCCTCGTTCTCAGGCTTTAAGTTCACATAAGATCCACGTTCTCAGGCTTCAAGTTTCATTTAAAATCCTCATTATCAGTATACATAACTGATAATTTAATTACATATTATGTATTTTGAGTTTTCTTTGGAATGCCAGGCACATTGCAAGCTCCATTGACCCAGGATCCTGGACTGAAAAAACAGGAAGAGACCTTGGGGTATGTTTTAAAGGATGGAATTGTGTAAAGCTAATTTAAGTATGCATGTATAAATGTTAAAACAAGCTAGCAGTTGTTTACTGTTTACTGTTGTTAAAATTACTTTGGACTTTCCCTTTTACAGGTTTCTCTTCAACAGTGTTCAGAGAATTCCTGTGCTGTTTACATGTTGATGGTAAGAATAATTCATTTGTCAGAGGTAGATAATAAAATAGATATTTTATAATTAGATAAAAAAATCAAAGTCTTACAGTGTTATTTGTATTTCACAGTATGCTCTCAGTACCTGTACTTCCTGTCCATTACTATTCACAGAGGTAAGCTGGATTTTCACAGAAGTATCCCATCAAACTCATATGTATCAAATATGTATTTTTTTTTGTGTGTGTGTTTTTAGGAGGAGGTGCCATTGATTCGCCAGTGGTGGTGCATTCAGTTGATGGAGAGGTTTTGCCTAGAAGGGTATGACAGATTCTACTGATAAAATTTCATTATCTTGGTTGTATTTAGCCACTGTTAGAAAAGTGACAATAAAAAGGTTTTATAAAAATAGAGTTCCTACATTTACATATTTTCCAAAGGCATGGACAAAGATTTGCATTTTGGACAAAGGAAGCATCCCAACTCCTTCAGGGAAACCTTGAGCCTGTCTTTAGGGTGTCAAAATCCACCACCACCAGCTGTCGCTCAGCAAAAGAGTTGTAGTTGAAGAGGACACTGATAAGGTCAATTATTTTATTGGTCATATATCAAGCAGTTGCATGCATGCTAGATAAATAGATTCATTATTTTGTGCCATTATTTATATATTTACAGCCAATCATTGTAAGAGACCTTCTTACAGCGCAGGACTGGGTACGCAGCAGGGATGGAAATTAGCACCCGCCACCAGCCAAATGCGGGTGATTTTGTGTTGTGGCGGGTAAACTCGCTTCACCTACCGGCCACCGTGGCGGGTAAATAAAAATAGCATACTGTTTCACCCGGACGGCGGACACTTTTAGAGGAGGCACACCTTCAAACAATATGTGGCGTTACATCGCAGGCGTAGAGGTCTGCAGAGAAAACATCATGGTGTGTTCACACCAGACGAGAATAGAGCGTCTGGCGCGAGTGATTTCATTGTTAAGTCAATGCAAAGACGCGTTACGCACGTAAAAAATTCCTGCGGCGCGAATGAGGTGTAGAGCGCGCCGTGGTAGATGCGAATACGCCTCATTCGCGCGGCAAGTTCGAGCGTCTGACGCGTTCCGTGAGAGTGTTGTGTGAGAGAGAAAAAAATCACAGGACAGGTTAATTACTTTTGGAGGCTGGCTCAATTTATCATCAAAACAAAAAAAAATGACAGATTAGGTGGATGAGGCCGAGGGTGAGAGAAAGAGAAAATGTCAGTATTTCATTGAGACTTGAGATTAAATAAACTGCTTAAGTATTCTTGTAGTATTAATTTTCACATGCAGTTACACATTGTCGGTTAAAAACAAGAAAGTGGCTGGTAAAAACATTGAGTGGCTGGTAGATTTTGAAATCCACCAGCCACAGTGGCCGGTGGACAAAAAAGTTAATTTCCATCCCTGGTACGCAGTCATGGAGACTTATTCTGTGGGAAGGTGACAGAGCCTTCTTTCCTGCAGATGAGCGGAAGTCAACAAAAAAATGCCCTCAGGAATGTCCTGGAGGAACTTCCTGACGCAAAGGATGACTTTTTGTTTTTATTCCAGTGTCTAGATGACATGGAAACATTTTTATCATCCTGTGCTGATGAACAAGGCCTGAAGGTCAATGCCATGTTTGTTTGTTCATGAGTGTGCAAGAGCGAGTGAGGAGTGAGAGTGAGAGCGAGTGAGAGTGAGAGCGTGTGGTGAGAGTGAGAGCGTGTGGTGAGAGTGAGAGCGTGTGGGATGGATGGAGAGGGAGGGAGAGATGAATATAGAAGGAGGGATGGATATAGAAGGAGGGATGGATATAGAAGGAAGGATGGATATAGAAGGAAGGAAGGAGGGAGGGATGGATATGGAGGGAGGGAGGGAGGGATGGATATAGAAGGAAGGAGGGAGGGAGATATGGATAGGGAGGGATGGATATGGATAGGCAGAGGGATGGATATGGAGGGAGGGATGGATAGATAGGGAGGGATGGATATGGATGGAGGGATAAATGGAGGGAGAGATAAATATAGAAGGAAGGAAGGAAGGAGGGAGGGATATAGAAGGAGGGATGGATGATAGATGGATGGAGGTAGGTATGGATGAATTCATTTATTAATAAATAAATAATGTTATTCTGAGTGTTTCTGTGTTTTCTTGAGTGCAGACATTTGTTAAAGTATGCTGAAATAAGTAGAACAAACCTTTAGAAAATGAAATATTACATGTAGTACCCTAATATTGTTAATATTACAATATATTACAATATTACTTCTGTAGAGGAGGCTGATCGCACACTACAACCATCATACTGCCCACACTTAATGCATATGTGTTTGTAAAATTGACAACAGTAACTGGCTTAAACAGAATTGAAAAAAATAAAAGTGTTAACAGGAAACGGAACACGTAGAATAACACAACTTTAGGGAGAAGAAAATAAATTAAAGATACAAATAAATAAACAATAAATAAAATGACGAAGGATAAATAAAAGTCAGTTAAGGGGCTTCAGTTACGATCATGGTTACCATACGGATCGTGTAGTGTCAAACAACAACTGCCGTAAATGGTTTCGACATCAGACAGGAAGGAGACGCGTTCTCGCACATGCGCAGTACAGATCGTGTTTCCGGTACGGATCGAGTAGTGACAATGCGCACTCTAACGGCTGATATTGCCCACAACCCATCGCGCGCTGGATGAGGATTCGGTTAGAACTACAAACACGAGTGAAAAGTGTTCAAAAACTACAGACATGGAGGACGCGCGAGTCCGACGGTTATGAGTTTTAGATAAAGGGGTTTGAGTGATTAATTAACAGTATCTAACCTGACGAAAATGTATTTATTCAATGTTGTCCACATTATATTGCATCTGCAGCAGCACCCACGACTGGCAGATGAACGTGCCACAACATTTCTCTCCGAAATCGGCGAAATGGTAAGAAGTTATATAAGATTGAATGGAGGATTTTAACTGTGACGAGATGATTGACATGCAGGGCAGTTTACGGTGATAGGATGCACGCGACAGATCTGTCCGTTAAAGATGACGAAGTAGTATGTCCCAAAGCTTGCCTACTCTTTTGCTACACACTCAAAAGTATGTACTTTTTCTTCACAAAAAGAGTACATACTTTTAGGGCGTAGTATAAGTAGGCGAATTGGGACGCAGCATTACATTCGGCCCGGCTTTTCGAGTCACCAGCGCCCCCTATAGGGAAACTACGGTGGCCGAGAGAGCTCAACGCGCTGCAACTGAAGAAAACACATGCAAATACAAAAAAACACATGCAAATAAAATAAAACGCATGCAAATAGAAAAAAACGCGTGCAAATAAAAAAAACAACCGCAAATTAAGAAAACATCTTCATCAGTTTCACAACACACGTGTGCTCCAAATACTCACAACACCACCAAATACAAACGCGCTGCAAAAGCTCACAACACAAATACAGAAAACGCGCTGCAAATAACACAGAGCACAACGGAAATGTTTCCAGAGGAACCAAATAAGTGACGAACCCGGCGACGTGCGTGCTGGCATAGATATAAATCTATGCGTGCTGGTGCTTACAGCTTAAAATTATACTTTATTTATTTATTTGTGCAAAACATACAGAGATTACATTTTTTTATGACATACAACTTGTATACAATGTACAAAATGTATTAACAATGTGTTCAATGTCATCAGAATACAAATGAGAAAAGAACAATGAGCTGGAAACTAAAATAAATAAATAAAAAAGAAAATCATGAAGGAAAGATATTTATCTATACATCAGTTACACTGTACAAATTGTTTCATGTTATTACATTTTCATAAAGAAAAGTTTCGTAAGAAATGTTAGGTAACGTAGGGTCCAAAATTTTTAAGTTGAGACACACAGATATATAACGCATATTTTAAAAGCTTTTTTGTAAAATAAAAATAAAAATGTATTTGCATCCGTTATGTTAACAGCATTATATTTCTGTGGTAAGAACAGCTCTTCAGCTGATGGACTCCGTGCTGCGTTGTCATGGGAACATCCCAGGTGAAAATAATGAGGAAATTAATTTCAATTTCAATTTTATTAATGGATAGCCCCTTGAGATGCAACATCTCATTTTCAAGAGGGTCCATACATATAGACATAAAACTATATGTATGGACGCATAGATTTATGGATATCTATGCCAGCACGTCCAAGCCGGGTTCGTCACTTATTTGGTTCCTCTGGAAACATTTCCGTTGTGCTCTGTGTTATTTGCAGTGCGTTTTCTGTATTTGTGTTGTGAGCTTTTGCAGCGCGTTTCTATTTGGTGGTGTTGTGAGTATTTGGAGCACACGTGTGTTGTGAAACTGATGAAGATGTTTTCTTAATTTGCGGGTGTTTTTTTTTTATTTGCACGCGTTTTTTTGTATTTGCATGCGTTTTATTTTATTTGCATGTGTTTTTTTGTATTTGCATGTGTTTTCTTGTATTTGCATGTGTTTTCTTCAGTTGCAGCGCGTTGAGCTCTCTCGGCCACCGTAGGAAACTCTTTTTACCTCCTAGTAAACCGTCTGTTTGCCTTTTTTACATTACTTTTCTAGCACCACGTTACCTTCTGTAGGTTGTGTGTGTGTGTGTGTATCAAAGCGTTTTCAGACGGGTCAGTTTGGTGATGCGAGTGCCAGTGCGTTGGGTATTATGGGATGTGAAGGACACACTGCTAAAGGTCCGGCGCTCGGTTGGGGAGCAGTACTGCAGCGAAGCAGATCGAGCAGGACTGAAGCTGCCAGCGGCACAAGTCGAAACTGCTTTCAGACAAGCTTACCGGCAGCAATCCACACTATTTCCCAACTATGGCAGAGCTCAGGGAATGGACAGCCAGGTCTGGTGGACTGGACTAGTGAGGAGTACTTTTGCCCAGTGTGGGGTAGATGACCCTACTCTACTAGATAAACTAGCCAACAACCTCTATTACAACTTTTGTGGACCAGAAAACTGGGAGGTAATGGGGTATTTGACTTTTTAGATATATGAAATAGCTATTTTGTTTTCTTCTAACTAAGTGTTTTTTTTCAGCTGTTTTTATTAGCAATTCCAGAAATCCCCAATAGGGGAACATTGCCTGTTCAATACAAATTTCCATTGCCAGTTATTTCTTACCCTCTAATGACAAATTGAAAAGCTTGAATGCATGCGTGATGCAAGACAAGTACATACTCTTTAGCTCAAGTGTCTTACATTATATTTAAATCTAGGAAGATTGTTTTTCATAATCTCAGATTGTGTCGTCATTAGGTGTTTCCTGATTCTAATAGCACCCTGAAGTTCTGCATCGCTTTGGGACTGAAGCAAGGAGTTGTTTCCAACTTTGACAAGCGTTTGGAAGGGATCCTGAGGGGATGTGGCCTTCTCACTCACTTCTCATTTCTTCTGACCTCAGAAGAAGCTGGGGTTGCTAAACCAAACCCTGCCATTTTTACCCAGGCACTGGTGCGATGCGGTGTGCAGGCCTGCAGTGTAGTCCATGTTGGGGACCATTATGTGAACGACTACCTGACCTCACGCTCATTGGGTATTCGAGGTTACCTGCTTGACAGACAAGATTCTCATGGGCACCTTGATGTTCCCACACAACATAGACTACAGAGCCTAGATGAATTACCAGCTCGATTGCAGCAGGATACAGACTGAGAGTGCGTCTGTTGATGTAATGTTGCTGCAGGATTAAACTCATTTTTGAATTGACCATATTTTTTGCAGTTGTCCATTTCGTATGATGAAACAGAAGATGTAAGCCTGAATGTCAGAATGTGGAGACAGGGGAGAAAAAAAGTTCCACTTTAGTTTTAATAAAATTATACTGCCACTAAATTATACTGTTGTTATTGTTGATCTGACAATAAATTACATTTTATTTGTGACAATTGTCTGATTGTTATCCACTGTGATTTCTGATTAAATATCAGGTTATATATCAGTTCTCAAATACAAAAGTAATAAGACATATTGAATAAGTTCATATAATGATTTATTCAGAAAACAATACCCAGACCCTTAACCAATTCTATTTCAGAATTAGAAATGTTACATAGCTTTCCCCTATTATTATTTCATAGCACAAAATTAATATTTCTGAAATATGGCATTGGCCCATTTGTTAATTTGGTCTTTTTGTCATGGTGCAGAACACATTTTGTTTAAAAAAAATCATTATGGTGGTCAGCAGATGGCGCTGTAGTAGCCTACATTATTATTGGTGTGGCGACTGATGGGAAGCATGTAACCATATGCATTTTCATTGACGGACATCATCATCTAAATAATCCAAAACAAACAAAAGCGTTTTATACAATACAATAGCGTTGTTGTTTTTTACGTCATTGTCCGAATGATTCATAACACAAATTCTTGAGTGATATAGTTCAGATAATAATGTCTAAGGACAATAGAAGCATTTCTGTAGAGCGCTGATATGATTGTTTCCCCGCCGAGGCTGCTGGACACACGGTGGAGAGGGAGATCACTTAACCCTAATACCCAAATACTCTTATTCCTCCCCATCTGCTCCGGCACAGATACCAGTTATGGATGGACATTAAAAGAATATCAAATTGGACGAAAAACGAGATGGCAAAAATAAAATAAGAATGACGTATTCAAAACTGCTCTAGTAATAAGGTATTTTGAATTACTTAGAACATTATGAGGGCAAACACCAGCAGGACATCGACTGTCCCCTTCCACGTAAGGAAGCGCTGTTCTCGGGAGTATTTATTTACCCAGGCGATGTTCACGTAAACTACAACTGGAACCTTTCTTTTGTTTTTCTATCTCCCTGCTCCGTAAGCGTGTATTTTACGGGAGTTCCCTCGGCAGAGCGCTTAAAACAAAGCTGGCTTTAGAGGCTCAGCCAGTCGGCTATGAGGGGCTGTGCTCCAATCCAATTGAAAACCTTAATGGGATTGGCAAACCCATCAACAGAGGATCGTGGCAGGAGAAGAAATGGAGAGGAGATCGAGGTTAAGAGCAGTTAAGATGAAATATGCAAATAAAGATGGGAAGAAAGACGCGATAGGCTACTGTTAAAAACAAGGGGGGTTCCACAGTGATGCCACAGAATAAAATGGTTCTATGGAATAACTGTGGAAACTATTTTGGAATCATATTTTTAAGTTTCCCCAAATACATTTTTCAGTGACCAGTTCTTAAAATAACCTCTTTTTTTCTTAGTGTAAAGAGGATTTTAATCATCTAAAGAACCCTTTCCACTGTAAAGAACCTTTTATGCAGTGGAATGGTTCCATGGATATAAAGGTTCTTCATAGAATCATAGATGCTATATTTAAAAAAAAAAGAAGCTTTATTTAATAAGGAAGGATTCTTTCCTAGGGGACATGAGGAAGAAAAAAACTTCTCACTCTATAAATAGATAAATAAAGTAAGTGGGGAGAATTGAGGCAAAAAATAGGGTATGAGCACAAAAGACGGACAAATTAAATGAATTTAAAAAATACTCACGCAAGCACTTTGGTCACTCATGCACAAGCTTAACTCCTCTCGGCCATGATCTCTAGAGTCCTTCCCCTCATCTCACAAAAGGTTTAGCCAAACAAACAAATAAATAAATAAATTGGTGAGCAAGTAAATAAAAGAGCTGAGCTTTTCCCTCTGTAAAAAGAGCACTCTGGCAGCGGGCTTTTTGTTGAGCTGGGCCTGAGGTTGTCTGTTTGCATTTCCATTTGACCCTTTTAAAATATTCAGATGATGGAGGATGTAAATGGACAGAGTGGTTTAAAGAGAGGAGGATAGCTTGGCAAGGGGGAAAGAACATGCTTTATAAAACATTTGATGAAATAAGAAAGAATCAGGTTGAGCCCAAATTTTGCAGCACTTTGTGTTATTTGGAAAAATATGCAAACTTAGACAAAGAGGTCAAAAACACTCAACAAAATGTCATACAGCCAAGCATGTGTCAGTCATATTGGAATCATCTACCTCTAACCTTCATGCTTAACTGATGATCAGTGACTCTGATCCTCCATATAGAGTACAACCAAAATAATATTCCCACGCACTATTTACAAAGTATTTTTCCCCCAACATGAAACAAGACAGCGTTTTAAAGAGAAAGACGTATGGTGTTTACAATATATCATACATAAACGTCAGTCAATAAGCAGATAACCAGGTTTAAATGGGATTCAGTTGGAACAAAGCAAGAGATGCAACATTGAGCATCATCTTTGGTGCAAAGGCCAATTCAGAGCATCCGTTATTCTATGAGTATGACATTGTCATCACGGCTGACTGCAATTCCACATCTGGAAGTTATGCAATGACTGCATGTTACAAAACTGTTCAGTCCGAAAAACCCAATACTTACTTTAGCATTTTAACCAAAGTCCTCTCAAAAAAACAAACAAAAAAGAAAAATACATTTGATCAGTCCGAAGTTAAACACAAATATGCACATTTTCTTCTCATTCATTGAACTCAAATTTTTTTTTAACATAAATGTAATCCTCAATCAATCACATTTAGTTGCTTACATATAAATCAATTGTTTTTAATTAAGTGGCAGGATCATTCAAATATAGATCAATTGATAAACCATCTTGAATCAGTTCTTTCAGGCTGATCATTTACAAAGACCATAACTCAAAAATGTCCAAGTGTTTCATTTTTCACTTGGACGAAAATCCTCTAACTTACAAGGGCTTTTGGGATCATTATATAAAATTCCTATGATTCTCCACACATTGATCAGACTTCAGCAATTGCTTCCATGATCTGATACCAGAAGACAGCCAATAAGCCGACCAGGTTAAGTTCTCTTTCTTTTCTTTTCTTTTTTTTTTGTGCTTTATCAATGGCATATTTTCTATTTGGAACAGCACCTCATTTTAACATAGCAGTATAAAGATATATAAATATTTCTGACACTATACTGGAAATTCCTTCCAAAGGAGTCAATCAACATTTTTTTATAACATGAGATCATTGGCAAAAGCTTGGGGACAGATAAGATAACAAGAACAAAATTAACACATGGTTTAAAACATTTCAGTGTAAAAGCTTCCACATATCTTACATAAGTTGAAAAGGATAATGTGCTTCAAACTGAATATCATCCATTATTATTGCTATTACCATGGCTTTGAGCCTCTGCATGCACTGACCCAATGAAGTGAGTTATCAGTGCGTGAATAGCCATCACCAACACCCATCATAAAAAACGTAAAGTGCAGATTTAAAGATGATTGTGTTAACAGTGTCTGAAATGTACACTGCAAAAGTGCACAGTGAAATACGTGCAATTATGTGATCAGACATGCATGCGTCCAATCATTCCAATGTGAACATGTAGATGTCATGTGACGCCACACCGCTGCTGAAAATAGTGCACACACAGAGGCTCCATTTACAAACCATTTACCTTACAGATCTTTGATAGCACATTATGCGAACAAGCACTTTCTGTGCATGAAGGAAATATTGAGTGGGATTTGTGATTCTATGCGTAACTGATGAAGTTACATGTCATAATTGTGAAATTTTCACCATACATTTCCAATTTTTGGATATAAAAAAAACATAAAATATTGATTTCCATTGGGGTAAAAGTGTTATAATGTGTAAGAGATCATATTTGTCCCTCAGAGTCGGCAACAGTCTCTCGTGTTTGCTGATTTGTTATCATTGTTATAAGGAGATCAAGTTAAAATAAATTGGCAAAATTTGTAGTTCTATTATTACATGCTAATTGACTGACTTAAATTGTAACAAAACAAACCTCCCGTTCTTTATCCATAACGTGATACAGAAAATGTGATATTTCATTGTTAAAAGGTTGTTATATCTTAAACTACTTTTTAGTGAGTTGCATATCCCATTAAAGGCATATTATAAGCCTTTTTATAATAACGGAATTTTAAAAGTCCAAAACCGGTAGAATGTCGTCTTATACATCTATAAGGATATTTATAGCTTTAAGATAAGCTCTGTTAGTAAGAATGGTTTCTCTAAAACCTCTCTCATCGTCTTTCACTTCCAGATCATTTGTTTCTGGCCATTGATCCGTATATTTTTCAAAAGGGCCCTGTCTCTACATCACTGGATCCTGTAGTTGATTTCCATGTAGCTTGTTCGGAGTTCTTCTTTCAGAGTTTCTCAGTTTTTGAGTTCCATCTTTAACTCTTGTCATTGCTGTTGTTGTTCCAAAAATATCCTTTTTGAAACGACTCAGTCTGTCTGAATGTAAAAGTTCCACGTTTGATTGGCTTCTCCCACTGACCACATCGAAATGCTCTCAATATGCGCTGTGCTTACCAACTGTGTGAGTCTGTAGCTTGAGAAACGCAGTCATAGTGAAGGTGGAGGATAACTCCAGAGTTAGTTTAGCATGTCAAACCACTGAAAGGAAAAAGACATAAATGAAAAACAAAAGGATTAAGTCATTGCAAACCACTTTTTTTTTTTTTTTTTACATAATAAGACTGGGAGAAGAAAAACAGAAGGGTTTGATCAAACTACACTAAGACGTTTCAGAAAAGAGTACCTTGTGCATAAGGAACATTTTCTGATGAGATGAGAAGACAAGAAGATGGAAGTGGCAGAGAAAATTGACAAAACATACACATGTAAGACAAATATGACACAATGTTTTACTTCAACCTGATGGCATGCGAATGTATTGAAATGTTATTGTGGAAACACAGGCACAGTTCTACCTAAAAATTAGAAATGCCTGACGATGCTGACAAAGTATGTGACAACGTCCTGTTGACAAATTTAATTAAAGGTTTGCAATACTCTGTCAACAAGCTCCACTGTGAGCAGACTGGCTGATAACTGAGGGTATTTGTGTGGACAAAATTCCAACAATTCCATTTCTAATTGCATAATTATGTCTGGGAATATTATGTGTTATTATGTTTTAATTATTTAACGTTCAAAAGTTTGGGGTCAGTATGATTTTTTTAAAAATAAATTAATACTTGTATTCCACAAGGTCGCATTAAGTTTATCAAAAGTGATAGAAAAGAGTTTTACATTTTTACAAAAGATTTCTATTCCAAATAAACGCTGTTCTTTTTTTTTTTTTAAATGATAAAATGTTTCACCCTGACCAACTGAAGTTACCATATCCTACACTCTCATTGGTCTCATGTTCATTGACAGTCTAAGGACAGAGTGACAACAGATGGCTAAACTAACAGCTTAAACCCTTGAGCAAAGACAAATCATATGCCATTAAAAGTTAAAGGCCTCGCACATATGCTGGTCTCAGTATGCGAACACCCCCTATTGATGATCATAATTAGGCACCACATGACATATAACACATCACCCTAAAGCTCAGCAAAAAGATGTAGTAAAAATGGAAATACAGCACTAAAATACCTGTTTCTGAGTGACAGCAGGATGTCCCACCCGTCAGAATACTCCTAGGCTTCTCCGACCAACACGAAATGGTGTTACCTCGCCCACAACCACCCCGTCTCCACCAACAACTAGAAAGACAATGTGTGAAGTCTACAAATGACCTCTTTCACCTTCCACAAAAAAATGACCTTTCAAAGTTTGTAGAGTACAGTTTATTCAGCAAAGATAGATCAAAAGAATAAACACTAACAAATAACTTGCTCTGGGAAAAAGAAAATATACATATGTGTTAGATATTAGAATGATCAGTGTTGGGTGTAAATATTAAAAGTAACGTGCATTACGTAATCAGATTACTTTTTTGATGTAACGAGTGAAGTAACGCATTGCTTTATAAATGCATTAACATTTGAGTTTTTGGAGTTTTTTTTGCACATTACTTTTCAGTTAAGTTAATTTGCTTAAACATTTTTTAAACTACAGAATTAAAATTCTTCTCCACAACAGTCACTTGTGCAGACATGCGCACTTATTCGAGCACGGGTACAGATAAAAAGTACAAAAGTAACAAAACACATTACTTTTTTACTTTCAATAAAAAAGTTATACAGTAACAGTATAACAGTAGGTAATATAACCTGTAATGTTAAGAGATCTTTTGTATAGCATTACATAGCTCTAGGGGTCAGGAAATATCGGTCAGAATATAATAATATATTTGGATTTTGTTTTTAAAAGAAAATGAGGTGCATGTTAACAGGTTATGTTGTTGAATGCATTACTGAGTTAAAGACTTTCAAAAACAGTTCTCAGTGAAAAAACACCTGCAATGCCTGGGAGATCAAGTCTCAGCCAGCTAAGAAAAAGTAACGCTAAAGTATCGTAACGCAGTACTTTCCATAAAAAGTAACTAGTAACTACTACTGTAATTAGTTACTTTAAGGGGTCACGCAATATTGTAAATCACTAATTAAAAAATTAGCGTTCATCAACACTGAGAAGAATGATTTCTGAAGGATCATGAGACACTGATCATGATACTGGAGTAATGGCTGCTGAAAATTCAGCTGTCATCACAAGAATAAATTACATTTTAAAATATCTTACAATTGAAAATATTTATTTTAAATTGTATAAATTGTCTAATATATGCAGCCTTTCAAAAACATTTAAAAAAAATCGTAATTATTCTAAACTTTTGACCGGTACAAAATAAATTGACAAAATGAATCACATGAAATGTGTGCTAAATGAATAATACTCACTTTAGTAAAGTGCAGAGCAGCATGAGTAGGACACTGCCCACCACACATAACACCAGCATGGTGGCCACAGTCTGCTGCCTGTGGTTAGACGCCACCACTGCCAAGAGGTCTGCATGTTCACATCGCATACCCATAAAGCCAGGATGACATCTAAACATACACAAGTGTCCATTTTATTATCACTGAAAAAAAATATAAAACATGCTCAGCAAAAGATCAAAAATCATTTAATTCCAGAATGAGGAATCTGCCAGTATAATGTTCAAAGTAATTTGACATTTTGTGGTGAACTACTACATATGGATGTGGACATGGAGAAAACAAATTACCTGACAACAGGAGGACTCATATCAACTCAGACACAAGCAGCACCAACACAGATTTGAATTCTGCTATTGTGCCAAATGTATACACGGAAAAGCAATTTAGCAAAGGACAAAACGTGCTTGTCTACACATGGACAAGCTCAATGAACATGCTGTCAGCAAGAATTTATCCACGTGAGTCAGCAATCAAAATTCATGTCAGACCGCTTAGGCTTCTATATACCGGTACTGGCATGACAAATTACTATTTATTTATTTTTTTGCATTTCCGATTCTAATCCTATTATTATATAAAAATATATGTTGGCTGAGCAAAAAAGAAAATAGGAAGGAAAAAAAATACACATCCGATTTTTTTTTTTATAAATCCGACCCAAACCACAATCGCAGTATTAGGATTTATGGAAACTGTCATTTTTTTCAATGATCAAGATGCACAACATTTTATTTCATATACAAAGTGCCTTAGTGATGCTGGTGGTGATGGCACTAAATAAAACAGCACACCACCCTTATCCGTTCTCTACAATCTGTATGACCTTCTGACAGCAAGTTGTTTACAGCTGTTGTAGAACAAAGCCACCACTATATCAACTGATGAATATATGGCAGAAAATGATAAGACCGCTTGAACACACAGATCTGATTTGATTGCTTGAAAACAGACGGTTTTAAGGATCAAATTTGAAAAAAAACAAAAAACTAGTGTGATCATACAGTGCAGATCAGTCCAGCTAAATTAAACACAGCAAATTCTTCATATTCAGTCTGGAAAAATCTCAGGACTTACACACATGCAGGTGTTTCCTCCAGGATGAGAAAGCGGCACGTGCCGTGAAAACAGAAGTGGCTGTGGGAGTCGGGGCAGTCATCGAAGTGAGAGTGGACAGCGGCTGCTATAAATTCTTCAATAACAAAATAAAGAGAACCTGGGTTTAATGCTGACATTAATGACAATATCTTGTTTAATAAAAAAATAAAGATCTAGGCAAGAATTTCTTAAAAATGTATTTGCAAATGTTTTGCCTGTATCTCGGTTTCTCATAAATTATATACAACCTGCAAGATTACTTTACCACTTTAACACAAACAAATTGATCTACTTCATTAAATACCAGCCTTTGTTATCATCAAAGCTAGAGCAAATGGAATGCACTGGTGGAAAGAGAAGTAGAAGGGAGAAAAGAAATTACAAGTTCTCAGCCAGGTTACAAATCAGAATGAGACGATTTGATATTATCTGGAATATCATAGCCCTTTAGTTTCTATTATTTCAAGACGCGCCATTTTCTCAGACTCTATCTTCCCTAAGGCACACATTTGATCTAAAGAGAGTACAAAAGGAGACATGGTGTAAGACAAGAAAGACCAAGACTTAGCTAGGACTACCGGTCAAGATCTGAGGTGCTTTCTTAAAATGGACAAATTCCCTTCTCTAATCATTGTGAGCTTTGTCTACAGAAGGTATTTACATTGGATGAAAATTGTCTGCTGTATAATGAGTAAAAAAGCTAACTGAAATTGACAATGGATGAAACCTGCTGTCTTTGTATTAGCAGCCCACAATTACCATGTGTGAATTCATTGTGAGAAAAAGTATGATAAAACAAGGTGTCCACTACTGGAACTCCATGAATTGGGTACAAAATTGGGTCTAAACTGTTTTTAAACAAATAGTCAGAGAAAAGAAGTTGTTAAAGTTGCGATAAAATGGAAGCAGCGACAAATATTCTGTATTGTGATGTGCGTCCGAGTGAAGCTGATTATTGAAAAAGAAAACAATTTAGGGCTTGATTCTATCCATTGGCTATTGATTGGATTTTAAGATGTGGGAGTTGCACTCAAAAATTAATGTGAGTTAAGCATTTAAGCATTAAGACTAAATGATTGGAAAAATCCAGCATGTGTCACCAGAGAGAAGTCTGTCATTTTCTCGGGAAGATCGAGTTAAGCAAAATTACAAAATTACATTACAAAGTACTACGAATTTTGTTTCACAGGTCTCCTACAATAGGTTTACATGCATCCAAAAAACAATGACATTTTCTCATAATATACACCGCAGCATCACCTCTTTTCTCAGTGTCTGAAACGGTTCAATAAAGGATTCAGGTCTTTTTAAACCACTCCTTTCCGAGAGCCTACTCTGCTCTGATTCGTCAGATGGCCCAGTCTGTTGTGATTGGTCTACAGCTTACAGCGTGTGTCAAACAAAAAGCCAATTACCATATCTGAATTTCAGCTCTGGAAGCTTCCTCAGAACTTGATTCACAGTAGAGTTGCATGGTTCTGAATAAATCATGAATATATATATATATATATATATATATATATATATATTTTTTTTTTTTTTTTTATTGCGATTCTGAATAGACAACTAAACAAAATAACACCTACTGGTGTAATGATGTAAATGATACAATCTTTATATGAAGTGTCAAGCTACTTTCAAAAAATGATTGACTATTTTGATCGCTACCGTAGAAATCAGAGTTTCTATCTGAACAATAAACTTTTATCCCAATACTTCTGTGAATATGAATTACTGTCACACAGAAATAATGATACTGCTGTGTGGTTGAAAAGACTGTTTGTGAAGCTGTTTCACACCTATACATGACATCTGCTCTCTCAGGCTCAGCAGCAGTGTCAATGGAGATTTGAATGTTTCGCTGTGATCGTACTTGTCAAAGGTTTAATAGACATAACTGAATTGTTGTCATTTAGGAATAAGATTGTGTGGGTCTTTAAATCGAGACTGCGGTTTTTTAATAATTAATTGTGCAGCTCTAATACAGTGTTCCGAACAATAAAGATTGCATCGGTTTTAATTCCATATCAACTTATCAATTCAGAGAGTGCAAAGTGGATTTGGCTTTGCAGGGCAGAAAACGTGTCATCTCGACATGTTGACAACTCAAACCAAACTCTTCCAGGCTTCAGCTACAACTACAGTGTTTGAGGCGGGTCAAAGTAGATATTGTTCATGGGCTGCCAATGGCCCTGTCCCAAATGGCACCCTAAGCACTCGTGGTCTTCCTCACTTTCATGACATAACGCCGACATAACTTTCATGACATTTGACTGTCGGAGAGAAGTCTGCTGTGGAGCTCGGAACAGTGCGGGCTCTGCAAAAGTCCGCATTGAGGGCGTATATCGACCGCTTGCAAGCACCTTTCTGAAACCTAAAATGACAAATGGGACACCCTATGGTCTCATGGACTTAACGGACACACGCACGTGGCAGCCATTGTAAGTCCACAAGACCGAAAGTGCATATGAAGTGTGCCATTTGGGATTGGGACAGGACCAATGGAGACTATAGGCTGGCATTATGGGATTTTGTTACAAACCTATGTAGATTTGAGCAGGAAGCAAGACTGGAATTGCTGACGACTCATTTCAGGCTATTCAGAATCCATGATATTTCAGACTTTTGAAGCCAAAAAAAGAGCTGAGCAAAAAGGAAAGAGCACACAGAACATACTTCTGACACGTGTAGTAGTAGTGGTTGTCGTCGAGCTGCTGGTGGTTGTTGTGGTAGAGGTGGTAGTTGTTGTTGTGGTGGTTGCAATGGTCGTTGTTGAGGTAGAATTCTCTTGTACCTGCCCATATGTGAAAAGGGAGCCTACAAATCAAACACAACAAGCACATATTCAAAATCAATAGCACTACAATGAAACAGTAGCATTGTTGAGGACAGCTAAGTAGGTGTTCAAAACCTTTTATCCCTTCTACTGACTCGCAGTTAAATCTAGTTTTGTAAACCTCTTACCCAAATGTGAAAATGAGGATCCAATAAAGTCAAAAAATGCAATGATAAAAACAGCAATGAGAAAACAGCGGAGCAACAGCATCACACACAAGAGAGAAAAAGGCTTGAGTGGCGGCCAGCACAAATGAGAAATAGCTACTTAAAGCCCACTTACTTTAGACTAAGAGAACAATTAAAATACCCTGGAACAACAGTGGGAGTTTCTGACTTCTAACCTTCAAACTATTTTGAGAACAGCTACAGCGAATGACTGGGTTAAGATAAATTAAAGTGGATTTGTGAAGCGGATCCTCCACATACAAAGGACTGTAAGACTACCTGATTTGCTGTGGTGCTCACACTACACAACAAGGTTTCTTTTCATCTGTTGCCTGACACAATGCTGATGAGGTGCACAAACTACAAGACATTTTGTCAAGAGGCAGTCCCGACCAACAGTGGATAAAATGTTTTCTCACATAAATTCGAGCAAGTGAATACGAGATTTTTCCGTTTATACCATCTGCACTGTGATTGGCTGGATTAGTTCCACCTAGTCGTTTCACAGCACACAGTAAAAGATCACATAGCAATAATATCTAATATTGCCGCGTCTGTGACTGCTCGACAGGCTCTGATCACCTCGCTGACCTGCTCATATTTAACGAGCATTGGCGACTGCAACGAGCACCGATTTGGCCTCGCGATCCTGGGGTTTTATCATAGATCTTGGAAATCTGTCTGCGACAGCAAAATCCAGCCAAAAGTCGTGTAGTGTGAGCGTAGTTCTTCTGGCAGCCTTAAGATGCTGCCAGAAGAATCTTTGTCATGCTGTGCCTAATGCACTCTTATATTTACAGAAAATGACAACCACCAAAAATCCCAAAGTCTATTGCTCTGTATTAGAAGTTCCCTAGAAAGAAGGTTAAGGCATCATAGGTGCATAGAATCGCATTTGCGATGAGCTCAGATCTTGGCAGTTGAGTCAAGAAAATGTTGATTATAAATCAACTTATTTCATTCAATGCTTATTAGAGTATTGTCCATTAGCTTAGCAACATGTTAACACCAAACTACTGAAAATTAGTTGAGCAACTCTTGTGAAGTGCTATTTGTGTGGAGCTCAGTGTTGCTGTCTTTACAGTGCATTTCAAATTGGTAACTTATAAGGTTCCATGACAGTAAGGAGGCAGCACAGTAACAGTCAGTTTGGATAAAAAATATATTTTAACACTGGTCTGTCAATGTGTCAATTTAACATGTAAATCTAGGTTTAATTATATTTTCAAAAAACAATTACTAAGGCCTCTGGATTGATTCTATGTTACATGCTATTCATGCATAATGGTTCATGAGATTAATTATTATTAAATTTAATCTGTATGTCATGTCTAATTAAGGATTTTTTGATATTGACAGCCCTAAAACACAAAAGCCCCATGCAAATTGATTCACAGGCCATCTACATCTGTAAATACAAATTTCAAAATGTCCAGATTTGAACAGTCTGTCTGTCTAATGTTCATTGTTGTGCCACTAAAATGGTTTGGAAGAGAGTCTGGGACCTCCAGGCATGTTCACATTCTGTGTGCACAGGGACTTTATGAAAATTCCTGTTAAATGAGAGGGCAAGTTTTATTAAACTGGAAAACTCCTTAGAAAAGCTCTACTGGTTACAATAATGCTTTAGTGTTAATATTTAAAACATATGCATCCAGCAAACAGGAGGTGGTTCACAAAATACAGTGATAAATTTACATTGATAAATTTCAAATTAAACTCTTGTCAGAGCCGTGCTACTTTTGACATATTACCTGCATGTAAAGCGAAAATAAGGTAAATAAAAATACATTTAAAAATAAGATAGGATAAGATAAGGAGATTCATCACTGTTCACTTTTCTTTCTTTTGTGGAACACAAAAGAAGATATTTTAAGAACGTTAGTAACCAAACAGTTTTGTTGACCATTGATTTCAATTTTATGGACAAAAGAACACAGAGACTTTTCTCAAAATATCGACTTGAGTAAATAATGACATAAAATTAAATGAGTGAACTAGGTATTTAAGTTAAGAAAACAAGGGTATTCCCAAATTACAAAAACTACCATTCCTTAACTATCGGTGTACCAAAATCACTTTCTGAGATAATGGGACCTCATATATGTCTTCGAAAAATCAAATAGCTGCTACTAGTACCACTCAGTCAATAAAATGAGTTACTTTATGGGGCACCAGGCAGGTTTATGAATGCCATGATGTACTACATATAAATATTTGCTTACTATTTAGGGCACAGAAAGCAAAAACACACATGATGTCCTAGAGATTTTTAATTTCTTTCATAAAACGTGACTGACTTTCTCTCACTGAAACTGCTTGCCAAGTTAGGAACGTGCCTTCGTAGGGACAAAGCCATAAAGGATGGACACTAAAGAATGGCTCTATATTTAAACTAAGCCCTGTTAACCTTGTTAATGACAGGAGCAAGACTACTGAGCCAAAGAAGCTGCTGGACAAAAAAGGAGAGCAAACCACTGCTTCTTCCACGTCTTGGTAAACACTGACAGCACATTTTGCATGCTATCAAGCTGAAAAGCTGCACAACAATGCAGAATAATTATATGTTGGACACCCAAGTTCTTCACTACAAATGATGTGACTGAACAGCAGGAGTCAGGAGAAAGGTGGACCCCTCTAAATGTGTTTTATATTGATGATTAGTATTGTCAAATCATGATGAAACTATGATATATAAAACACTACTGAAAAATCGCATGCACATCAATAAAATTATTTTAAAAGCTTCATTCATAGCTCACATCTTCAATTCAACCTCTGAATCAAAAAAGATTTTAATAGTTTGAGTAAGCATAAATCCACTTGAGACATTAGCATTTAAAATGTGGCAAAATCATAGTCATTTTCTTGTAAAGGACAAGATTTCAAATAATTCTAATATTTGCTTAATTGACGTATTATTTACATTTCAAAGTTATCGCTAATAAAAAATAATGCCAGTAAATCGAATGAACACAACATCATCAAATACAACAACATTTACTCACCGGTGAGAAGAAATATTGTATCCCAAAAAGCACGATACATCATTATAAAGGCGTTTATGTATGTGACTTGTTGGTGAAGGATTCGAGGCGTCGTCTCTTATATTAAAACATTTATCTTTGCCAACATAGATGAATCACGCGCCTATTCTTGAGATTGGCTAATTGTTAATATTCCGTCACATTGGTCAGAAATCTGACTGCCATAGTAAAACTGTGTTCGTCTTTCTTCATAGTTTCATGTAGCCTACTCAACACAATTACGCCATGCGTCAATCCAGGTATTTTGAACTTGACGTCAAACTCCGTTTTACCGCTGATATAGAAACGGTAACTTTTTTCTTATTCACTATGATGATAAAGATCAGTGGTAAAACATTGTTAAACTACAGAATTACTTTATAAATTACTCATAGCGCAGGACTCTCTCCACACCCAAGTTGACATCCTTCTGTTCTGCGTGCGTGCGTGAGTGTGCATGCGCGCGGGCGTGAGCTAAAGAGAGCAGTGCATTGCTGGAAACCGCGAGTGTTGGAAACATAGGTTGGAACACAATTTTTTTTTAAACGTCTATTAACTGTTAATAATTAACACATTTTTTCGCAATGAGTAATTTAATAATACGTGTACAGCTTTAATTTTCTTAGCACGCATATTTTATTGTGGACATTGATATTCAGAACTATCCTGCATAGTGAAGTGAATAAAGTTTTAATTTGTTAAACGTTTACTGTGTTTGAAGAAAGAGTGATACAGTTTGTATTATTAAAAACTGTAGCAGATTCCTGGTTACCCTGACCTCGCTACCTTATTGTCAAGTTTACTTTACATGTGAGATGTGGCGTCTGTTTCCAATCCACTCCCACAGGTAGCCAGGCTATTTCTTTACCTGGTTAAATATATTTCCTCAAGAATAGATTACACAGGCCAAAATTAGAACATAGTATATACTGGGACACTCACAATAGGTTATGTTTAAAATAAATTAATTTGAAAATCTCTCTTGTTATGACGTTTTTGTGCGTTTTCTAATTCATATTTTGGTTGGTCGTTTTTTGTTAGGAGCGGAAGTTTTGTCCAGGTTTTGGGTCAGACAGTCTTGCGTTACCAGAAGTTGATCCAAAAGTATATGCTAATTTATTTCGTAGGTCAACCAAAAACCAAGCCTTTACCTACACCATAAAACTTTATTGGAAAATTTTCAGAAGAGTCCAAACGTCGAGTGCAAAATTATAATAATGTTATGTTGCCCTCTAGTGGAATAAATGGATACGCTCAATATTTTTTCAAATCTTGCTATTTCATGCTTCGAGTCCATTAATATGCCATTGTCGGCCTACGTGTGCTGACTGAATGTAAAACAAGCTAAAAGCTATTTTTTCATATCTAAAACAAAATGAAATAAAATATTAATAAGTAAATATTCAGTAACAGTACATATACATTCCGATAGGTGGAGTTGAAATACGTTGATCTCATTTTGGACTTTTACATGGACACATAATGCCAAAGTATTTGTAAGGAGCAGCTGGCTTTTTAATTCAACAGAAGTTCTCAAGAGGATTCGAAAATCATTGTTTTATCTAGTCAAGAGGGTGGTTAGTTAAACTATATAAATTGTGAGGATCGTGACTGACCATTCTGAAGTTTCGTATTGGCTGTAACATTTGAAGACGTGTGTCATAGTGTCTTTCTACGCACCTTTCTCGGAACACCAATATCCAATTTAATGGACCTTCTCTATTCTTGGATTTTTTTACCTCTGGATTATTTTCTCAAGGCAAATCATTAGCACATACAAGAAAGAAGACATCATGAGTACAAAGGAGAAGAAGGTACGATTATGTCCTATTGCTGGAGTTATTTTCCATTAGTCTTTTTTTTTTTAAATGACTCAATAATTTGTAAGTTTTACTGTAAAGTCATGTGTAACCGTCACTATATTGATGTATTATACAAATAAAATTTAAAGTCAATTAAAAAAAAATTGTTAAGCACATTTTAAATCCCTTCAATGGGGCAATAGTAATACATAACATCATATGATGGCACATGTGGAGAATATATGTTGAATTTAATAGCAATTTAATTACATTTAGCAATTTATGTTGATTTATTTGTTTTGTTGCC